AAGCAATGCCAACTACACTGTACTTGTGTGTGTGCGCAACTGTGTGTGGAGAACACTATGTCTATATTCAAGTGTGTGTGAAGAAGACTCTGTGTGTGTGTGTGTCTGTGTGTGTGTGTGTGTGTGTGTGTGTGTGTGTGTGTGTATGAAGACGACCGTACCACTCCGGCCTCTCGGGGTGAAAATGAAGCACTGTTCCCAGTCCCTTTTACACTGACTTCCATACAGTAAAAGCCACAGGGAGTAGGATTCTGTAGGATTTCATTTAACTTAAATGTAGCAGATATACAGAGGAATGAGAAACATTCCTCCAAGGATCCCAACAAAAGCAACTAAAGAAGGCCTCTCGCCATGAGGCCCTTACTGCCCATTGGCTTCCTAGAATTCGGTTTGATAGTGGGATTGTTACAAGGTCTGCAGATGTACCGGTGACTCATGAACACAAGGACTGGCTTTTCACACCATGTTCAGAGACGTGCCTCCCTCACACCTTATGAGGATATTGGTATAGCACCCATGCAGGATGGGGGGAGGGGAGGAAAAGAGGTCTACAAGGGTTCCCAGCCAGAATGCGTCTGCATTCTGGTCTTCCTCGCCTTCGCTAAAATGTCCACAGTGTGAATCAGGAACGACCTCTCAAGAGTGGATCGTGTGTATTTCTCTGTTACTAACATAATACTTGGCCTAGGGAAATAATGTGATGCTGAATATTGTGATACCTCTCTGTAATCCCAGCAGTCAGAAGCTGAGGCAGGAGGATTGTGAGTTCATGACCAGGTTGGACTACATAGGAAGAGCCTGTCTGTCACACTCTGTAAGGGGGAAGGGGCCTGATTCTGTCTCTGGAGATGGTTGGTGTCAGGATGGGACCTGGCGTCTGTGATGAAAACCGTTTTGGCTGGGAGAGGATCATACTAGTGAAGAGAGGCAGGGGCTGTGCTGACAGTAGGTGTCAGGGGAGAACCAGCAAGTGCTGGCCTCCACAGAGGTCTATGAAGCATCCCTAAAGACCTTCTACAGATAAAGGCAATTGTCTTAGCTTGCAGTCTCATTGCTGGACTTTGTGTCTGCAGAAGACACTTTTCTTTTTGTAGAGGACATCTTTTAAAATGTAAATGTTAGAGAAGAACAGACAACCAGTATGCTGAAGCTGGTGTGTGGAGCTAAGAAAGGATGCGGAGGTGGGACCCAGTCCAACCAGAAGTGACAGGGCAAGCAGGAGCCTCCTTCAGAAGCCTCCTGCAGAGAGTCTGAGCTCTGGGTTCCAGGTACTTCCCTACGGGTCTAGACAGGAAGATGGGGGCAAGCTGAGCTGCAGCAGGCCTCTGGAGGAAGAAGGTGTTGGCCCGTGGCAGGAAGAGGAAGCCAGGCCCTCCCAGGAGGCTGACTCATCCACACCCTCTTGTCATACTGGCTGCACCATTTGTGCATTTAAGGGTGGCAGAAGAGGCAAGGCAGAACTACCATGGGCACAGATCCCTGTCGTGCGAATTTCTGCATTTGTTGGTCTCAAGCACTGAAAGGCAGACACCTTTTCTTTCAGCCCCTGCTGGATTTCATTGCAATTCTTTCACAGCAGAGAGATCTGGAGAAAAGGTTAGCAATAGCCTGGAATGCCCATTACTTAATGCACAGGCAAACTGATCTTTCTGTCCTTCCTTCCTATATCACACACACACAGCTGTTTCCAGCCCTCCTCTGTGGAGGTCGTAGGGCACAGAGTCCCAGGGTCTAAGGCATGGAACCAGACTGTTGCAGTTTTAGCAACTTCAGCTTTCCGGGCCTCGGTTCCTTTCCTGAGCTCACAGGGCTTGCTCTCTTAAGACAGTGACAAGACAAGTGGTGTTACACTCAGCAAGTATCTGAAACAAAGCATGCCAGGTATTTGAGCCATAGGGCAGGTGGCTCAGCTTAGTGGTACAGGCTATGCTTAGCATGCTCAAGGCCTTAGCTTTGATCTCCAGCACCACACATGCACACATGATGGTAAATACAGACAAACATGACTATTCTTTGCAGGTTGAAGAGACTTCAGGGTTAGTCCCTAATTGGTACTGTGTGCATGATATACAATAGCCTAGTTCTTAAAACCTGAGATATCTTTATGATCACAAAATACAGTGTGGATTTCAAACTGCTAGTACTTCAACAGCTTGTCTTTCCATGGGCTCCAAGACACAGGAGCTTTTAGACTTGGATTTCAATAAACCATCATCTTCTATTGGGTTCTGATTCTGGTTAGATAGCCTTTCTATTAGATCCGGGACTGGAAGGATTACATATGGGTAAATTCTCCGTGTTGCCCCGGGCTTATTAAAGATCATTTAGGGCTTGGGGCTCAGGATTTTGGTCCCAGGATCCCGGAGAGCACTCATTACAAAATTTTAAGCTTCAACTGAGCAGGGTGAAGAGAGGACAAAGCCCCTTCTTCTTCGATCTACTAAACTGGAAGGAATAAGAACATCCCAATTTCAGCACAGCATTGAGAGGCGTGAAGTGCTTGGAGGAAGGCAGGATCGGTTCATCGTGCAGAGCAAATCATCTTTCCGTGACCAAAGGGAAAAGAGAAGTCAGAGTTTAAACAGGACTAGGCAGGGAAAGTCGGCTAACCGCTCCAACACTGCGCCAGGCGGCGCTGCAATCTTTACCTTAAGCAATTTTCTGGATTAGTCGGATGACAAGGAAACCTGTAACAAATATCATCACGCTAGGGGGTTTTGCAGCATAACGTCAGCGGGCTACCTTCTTGGAAAACTCCAGGGAAAGACTCTAAGCCTCAGAACCAGGGGATTAATAGAACAACAACAACACCCGATCCGAACCACGGCAACGAGCCAGTTAGGTTGTGTAGCCGAGAGGCATGCAGCACCGCAATGTGGCAATGTGGCGGGAAGAGCGACTTAACGATCCTGGCAGGTGCCTGCCACCCCCGCCTTAGGTTCCTCCTTTTTGACAAACCTAAGGACTGAATTTATAGCTGATCGCCAAAGTCCCTTCCAACTGTGATACCCCTGATGAAAACAAACCTTCCTGAAGATCTCCAGCACAGAGTAGGGAGTTCCTGAGCTGGGAAACAGAAAGCACAGCAAGTGAACTGCTCCAACCAGAGGAGAAAGTATGGTTCCGGCTCTGGGAGGCAATGGAAAGTCAGAAGGAAAGTAAATGGTGGTGGGTTGGGGTTTGGGAGTGGAGGTGGACTGGTCGCTCAGGGAGCTGCGGAGTGATACACGGACTGGGATCCACGCAGTGGAGTCCCGCGAGAGGCGCGGGGACCCGACAGTCTCCGGCGCTGCGCTAGGCTTGGGGACTCACCTGCGTCTCCTCCTCCGTGAGGCCCGCCTCGGCAGCGATGAGGCACAGCGTGGTGGGGTCGGGATGCTTGTTGACCTTGTTGAAGTTGTATTCCAGGATCTCTACCTGGTCCTCCGTGGGGCCGGTCGTGGTCTCCGCTGACATGGTTCTGGTACGGCTGCGGGGGAAGAAGAAGCGCCGGGTGAGCGAGGCCGGCCTGTCCCCTCCCGCGGTCCCACGGAGCCCCCCTCCGTCCCATCTCCGGCGAGCTGCGGACTGCGGAGCTCGCGGGCGCCCTCCCCGGGGACCCGGAGGACGAACTACGGAGCAAGTTCCCAGCCTCCCCGCACGGTCCCCAACCTAGCCAAGGATGCAGAGGAGGATGGGGACGCCACTCGGAGGAGACAGTAGAGGAAGCGCCTCAAGAGCTGCCTCTGGAGATCCGGAGCTGATCCGGAGCTGCCCTGGGGACTTAGGACACACGCGGGGCAGGGCTCCCGGCCGCCTGGGCACGCCTCCCGGGCCGCGCACCCCGCCTCCGCAGCTAGCTAGCACGTGGGGACCTTGCCAGGGAGCGCTGGGCACCGCACACTTTGGAAAGACGAAAAGACGCCCACAGCACAAGTTGGGAAAATGGAGACCGCACATTTTAAAAAAGAATAACACCAATAGACATTTACTTTTTTTCCTGATTACAAAATAACTCATACTATAGAAAAACCTGAAGTACATGAAAATCACGGCGGAAAAGTTAAATTGCCCACATAGTTACAAATTACAGCTATAAAATTTTAGAAGACGCTTTAAAGATCTTTCCAATTTACAGATGTGGAAATGAAACTACAAAGATAATGACTTACTTTGGAGTGTTGGAATGAATGGAGAAGACTTATCCACCTGCATGCCTTGCCGGGACCGCTGCCACCACCTTTGCCCACTTTCCTGGCAACTTCTTAACCTAAGCTGTGAACCCCAGACTTGCTATTGCCAGGCCGCGCTCCCAAGAGCCCACCCCACCGTGCTGCCCTGTGCGGAGGTGATAACTTTCAAAACCTACACTATTAAGCAGGATCAAAATCAACTGTTACTTAAAACCTCGAACTTCCTCAAAGGAAAACAGGTCCGCCTCAGGCTTCAAGGTCTCTTACCGGTCTTCACTTTTAAGACAAATATTGCTGGCAGACTGGGGCGTGACCTTCCTGCTGTGTCCCCTCCCCATCTATGTAGTAGCTTCAGACTTGGGGCTAAGAAAACTGACAGAGGTACTCCCCCGTCCTGTGCCGCGGGGTTGAAGACTGGGAGGTAGAGAACGTTGGTCTTCAAGATATTCTCCGCTGTAGATTCGGTACAGGCTTGGCCAAGCAGCAGTGTGCTACGCAAATCACCCTGATTTGTTGCACTAACAAACAATTGCAAAAGTCCTCAGCAGAGACGGGAGCCCGTTAGGATGTGGTTTGTGCCTGGGGGTGAGCTACCTGCATAATGTGCCCAGTGCTTAGACCTCTTCACTGTGGCCTATACCTCCTTCTACTTCCTTGAGGAGGTTTCAGACAGGACGAGAAGCTTTGCAACTACGTGGGGCTGGGGTTCAAACCACTTGTCAGGTCGCCATGAAATCATTATCAGGCAACTAGATGTTCCTCAAGTTAAAACGTGTACCAAGTCTCTGTACCCAGGTCATCGGGGGGGCCACCCCCCATCAGGTCAGCAATACCTCTCCCATTAGCCCACAGCCTCCCTTCCTAAGACACACTCTCTCTGGAAAGTTATCTCCTCACAGCCAGGGACATCGAGGCAGAGAACCCAGAGCTCTGCCCATTTCCAAGCATAACCAGTGCTCTATGGTACACACACTGAACCTTGGCTCAAGGCTGGTGTTTCGCTAGCCTCTTTTCAGTAAGTCAGTCTGTCTTCAGGTTAGTGGGAGAAAGTAGGAGGGTAACAGTGTGAGTGCAAGGAGGGCTTGTTGCCACGTTCAGTGGGTGTGTTTCTAGTTAGACACGAATCCCAGCCAAAGCCGTCCAACTGAAGCCACCCACCACTGTTCAAGCTGCCAACCTAAAGAACGCAGCAAGGACAACGCTGCCTCTGGTCTTCTTGCCCTGGAATGGTTTCCGGTCCTGCTGGCTCTTCCCCCAGAATCCCTGTTACTGCCTTGTAGAATCCTTGGGCCTCCAGAAATATCACACTGGGAACCCCATTCAGATTTATGGACATGTTTTCCTGTCTCTTTTGTAACTGCTGCTATCTAACTGTGGGCTGCTAACATGCCTCCGTGGGATCAAGTGGTGACAGGGGTGTTGACTTCGAAGGATTGCTAGGATTAGTCGGCAGGACCATTGATGACTGCTAAGGAGACACGTGGGAGGGTCCTCCGACAGCACCTTGCTCTCCAAGGTACACTAAACAAGCGTGCTTGGTTTCTAGCCATGGGGATGAAAGGGCTCTACCGTCAGATGGATTTGTTACTGCTCTACAGAACTCAGGCACTATTATTTCAGCCCTCTCTCATTGGCAAATGTTTGCTTTTGCTTTGTTTTCTCTCTCTCTCTCTCTCTCTCTCTCTCTCTCTCTCTCTCACACACACACACACACACACACACACACACTCACACACACACACACACACACACTGTATAAAATCACACTGCCCTGGTAACCTTGGCCTTGTAAAGGTTCTTAGCTGTTTCCAGTAAGGAAATAAGGAAACTCTTGAGAAGTTTCTCTGAAGATAGTCTAAATCATGTCAGATACAGAGAACTAAGAACGGTTTCGAGGCTGCTGAACATTTAATCTCGACACCAGTTTCACAGTTGCGGTTGTCCACCGCTTATGAAACACTTTGGAGAGCAATTTGTCCTGTCATTGTATTTTTCTTCTGTGGTTGGCGAAGTCGTTGCACAAGCCTTTTTTTCGAGAGGTTAAATGAAAACAGCTGGCTTTTTTCTAAATCAGTTCCAAAGCCTGGGCTGTCGGTGTGTGGGTCCAACAGCCTTATGTCCCATGAGCCCACGGTCCTTTGCTTTGTACATACACCTACGCTAAGTAGCTCACATGAAGTGCTGCAAACTGGTATGCATTGGCCACCTTTTATCTCCTTCCTCTCCCAGCATTATGACCTCTCTGTTATGCCACTCACACCGAATCCGTAGAGAAACAAATTCCCCAGGAGTCGGCCACAAGGGAAAAGTGGGTGAATTCTTTCCCCCACCCCTTAAGACAGGGTCCCAAGCTTGCTATATAGCTATTTATGATTTTTGAACTTCTGAGCCTCCTGATTCCACCTCCTGAGTGTGTGTGTGTGTGTGTGTGTGTGTGTGTGTGTGTGTGTATCTGTGTATATGCTGGGGAGTGCCTGCTACCTACCAACTGTGAGGTGGATCATTCCTTCGGGATATTTCCCAGTTTTCCTTGCCTGTATTTTTGTTGTGTTCACTGTGAACTTCCTAAAAGTAATTGGCTCTGAAAACATTTTATCTTTTCAAGTGAAAAATAAAATGGTGTGTGGCTCCTCCTCCAAGAGAAGTGATGGGTGTCTGCTCTAGAAGACTGGGGCTCCTTCTACTTGTTGGTTCCTTGACCACCGCTCCACAGAAGGTAAAAGGGGGCTCATCCAAACTTTCAGTATCTCTGAGAAACTGACGAAAAGGAAGACTCTGTGTAAGGGTTTGAATGAGGGTGGCCCCCATAGGCTCATATATAGATGTTGGGCTCCCAGAAGGATTAGGAAGTGTGGTCTTTCCCCAGGAGATGTATCACTGGGGTGCGGGCCCACACCAGGCCCAGCCTTGTGCTCCCCGCCGGCGGCCTTCCACCTGTCACCGGAATGAAAGCTCCCGGCTACTGCTCCAGTGCCATGGCTGCTGCCGCATTCCTGGCCTTGATGCTCAGGAAGCAAGCCTTCAACTAAATGCTGTCTACTATATGTTACCTTGGTGATGGTGTCTCCGCATAGCATGGAACAGTGACTTAGATATTTGGGGTAAAGCGCAGTGGGTAGAACCTAGCATGTGCAAGGCCCTAGGTTCTATCTCTAGCCCTCGTGGATCTGCCCCTACATTCTGGCACCCATGATAGACACGCCCGAAGAGGTGTCCTTTTACATAGACACCTCCTTACTACTGTCCTTGAGCTAAGAGCAGTGGCTGTCAAACCCTGCTGAGTCCTAGGACCGTCGGTGGCTGTGTCTAGGCCCACTCCTCACCTCCTGAAGGAGAGCCACATTTTAGGAACCTAGAGTGGGAGAGAGAGGGACAGCATTTCAGCTACTCTCACATCTTGCAGTTTAACGACTCGAATTAACTGTAAACATTTGGAAAGTTCCACGGCTTACCTACCTCTTCTTGGCTACGCGTCCCCTCAACGTTTGAGCAGATGGTAGGCTGAGATAGTTTTAGGAAAATTAGTTTAAAGATAAGTTTTAGTTTTTAAAGATAATTTTATTTCTTGGGCAGTGCCAGGGGCTGAACATTCTTGTGCATGCCTTCTGCAGCCCCGCTAGGGGAGTTCTCTCGGTGATTATGAGGTCTGGACCTGTTGGTTTACAGGAAGCACAAGTGTTTCCCTTTGCAGGGTAAGGACAACATTTGCTGGCCAAGCTCTCCAGTAAAACTCTCATTTGAATGGCGACCGCATCCCGAGTCCCTGCCTCAGCACCAACTGTGCTGTCGACCTAATCTCTACTGGAGCTGTGTGCTCTGCCCTCCAGGGGGCCGTCCAAAACTCTTGGAGTTATTTTCATCCCGGCTGTGTGACCTCTTAGGGTGAAAGGCCCCATCTGATTACTGTTTGCTGTGTAAAAGTATTTCCTGTTCCAGCCCGTAACGGGATTTGAAGTATTTTCTTTTTTAGAGCTTGGATTTGGTCTCCAAACTAACTTGGTTGAGTCCCCTGGTCACTGGAACAATGCTGAGATATGGATAGAAAGCTAGTCACTAGGAATTCCCGTCGGTGACGTGCTGAAAGCCTGGTCATGTTGCTTCTCCAGAGCTCTTAGAAGCCAAAACTTGATTTTGCCCTTGAAATGATTTAGTCAGTTAACCCCGCACACACACTCACCAAGGAACTACCAGTCTCCAGGTGGACACTAAGTGATGGATGGGAAGAGGATGGGTGATGGACAGACGACTACAAAGTGGGGAATGCATGGTGTATCTGCATGGTGATCACCGTGTGCTGAGCTGTGGACACTGTGTGGTGTATCTGCATGGTGATC